CAGTTCGGAAACATCAGCAAGGGCGACGACGATGCCGATAGCAACGCTCTCACAAACGAAGAACGCATGTTTATCATCCACCGTCTTCACGAGCTGTTGCGACCTTTTATGTTGCGGCGCGTAAAGAGCGAGGTCCTCGATCAGCTCCCCGAAAAGGTCGAAAAGATTTTGCGGTGTGAATTGTCCTCGTGGCAGAAAGAGCTCTACAAGCAAATCAGCAAAAAAGCCGTGGCCGAGACAAACGACCTGGGAATCCAAAACACCGGGCCCCAGGGTCGAGGGTTGAACAACGCTGTGATGCAACTCCGAAAAGTGTGCAACCACCCCTATCTGTTTTCTCCCCAGGGCTACCACATCAACCAGAACATTATTCGTTCTTCGGCAAAAGTCGAGCTCCTGGATCGGATGCTKCCCAAGCTGAGAGCAGCCGGGCACCGGGTATTGCTCTTTACGCAAATGACGGCCGTGATGACCATTCTCGAAGACTACTTTGCCTATCGACGTTATTTGTCCCTGCGGCTCGACGGTTCCACTCCCGCAGAAGAGAGAGAAAAACGAATGTACAAATTCAACGCCCCCGATTCKCCGTACTTTATATTTCTTTTGAGTACCCGCGCGGGTGGTCTGGGGCTGAACCTCACGTCAGCGAACACCGTGATTATATTTGACAGCGATTGGAACCCCATGATGGACCTGCAAGCCCAGGATAGGGCKCATCGAATCGGTCAACGCAGCGACGTAAGTGTCTTTCGAATGGTGACACGGTCTCCGGTAGAGGAAAAGATCTTGAGTCGCGCGACCGAGAAACTCAACATGAGCGAACTCGTCGTGGAAGCCGGAAAATTTGACAAGACCAGCGTGGAGAGTGACAACAGCCTGGAAAGAAAACGRATRATGGAGGTTTTGTTGGTCGACTTTGATACCAACGCGAACAAGAACGACGGCGACACCGTCGGGATCGGCAGCAAACCTTTGGAGGAGAAGCCAGCAGAACCCGTCGGTTCGGAAGATGGTGAAGTCGACGACGGTGAYGACGACGACGACGACAACAATAGCGAGGCCAGCAAAGAAGATGATCTCAACGGTCTCTTGAGCAACAACGAAAACGACTATCAGCTCTACAAGACTTTGGATAAACTGAAAGCAGCAGCACCTCCTCTTGTGGATACAAGCTTGTTCACATCTGAAGAGGATGTCCCAGATTGGATCAAATATCCAACAGGGAAAAAGGACGCCGCTCTTGAAGATATGAGTGTACCGGGCAGTGGGCCTAGAAAACGCAAAGAAGTCATGTACGATGACGGACTGACCGAGAAGCAGTTTTTGAGAATGATGGACAAGCAATTCGACAAGGCAGAAGCTGCGAAAAAGGAGGCGAAAATCGCTAAGCGGGGAGCGAAATCTCTCGGAGCCTCTGCGCCGATCGGAGCTCCCGTGTCGGTGGCCATACCCAATAGTGAACTCACAGACTGGACGTTCCGCAAACTCATCAGCTGTGCCAAAGCTGTCGTGAATCTCAAAGAGCCTTCAACAAAACGTCGTCTTTGCGAGATCTTTCTTGACAAGCCATCCCCGGAACAGTTTCCCGACTATTATGAATTGATCGCGAAACCAATCGCAATCAATGACATTTTGCGCAAGTGCAGGGGAAAACTGTATGCAAACATGCAAGAATTTCATGAYGACTGGAAACTGATGTTTGCGAATGCAAAGCAGTTCAATGGCGAAGACTCTTGGGTCGTCGAAGACGGCAAAACAATAAAAAAAGAACTRGATCGTGTATTGAAGAAAAATGGTTTCACTGACGAGGCGGGTGTCAAACCTAAAACKCCTCCGAAAGCGAAAAAGAAGCTTCGGATTAAGTTGTCACTCAAAACCATCAAAGCAAATAATGATGCTTCCGGAGATGGTAAAAAAGGTGGAGATAGCGGGAAACCATCTGAACCGGTGAAAAAGAAGAGAAAGAAAATTCAGAAAAGCAAACGGGAAACATCGTAGAAAATACCGATAATATCTACTATGAATAGAGAAAAAATAATTCAAATCTCTGGTTCAATACGTTTAATGCAATGAGATAAAACCTCTGCAGCTTTGAATATACGGTATCACAGACATGAGAACATACGCAAATCAGCATCACCGTTTCTAAGCCATGTGYTCTTTTTGGTTTGTTGAGTTTGAAAGTTCGGGAGAGTTTGAGTCAGCTCCTTCAGCGATCGTAGAGAGTTCGCATCCACCCCGAAACCGGTTGACTCGAAGAATTTTTGCAACGTCGTAGTCTGTGACGGCTCCACCAGTTGCAGAAACGATATTGAGGCAAGAAGCAAGTCCGTTTGAAACGAAGCACAATCACTTTTCCTGCTATCAAGTGCTCCTCGCTGTAAGAGCTCATGGTAACACGATTCCAACGATCCAATTTCGTCATCAAATACTGTTAAATGGATGCACAGAGAATCGATGTGAAGAATACATTCCTCGTCTTCTTCGCTTTCAACTCCACGATCCTGGTATAAAAAGTACGTTTCGTTATCGTCAGGAGCGAAAGACGTTTCAAGAAACGTCGACTCGTGATCAATAATTGGGCTCTCCCAGACAAGTCTTCTGCCTGAAAGAAATGGCGTCCGAGGATCCTGCGTCTTAGGCTCATCATCTTCTAGTACTTTACGTTCTGCAACGAGATATAGTTTTCCCTTCGAAGTACCACAACCCTGGTCATGACAATTGCAGGTCATTCGGATAGATTTTGTTCGTCGTTTAAAAAAAGGGATTCGTGAGCATTTGCTCGGCGAAGTATTCCCCGGTTCTYCTTCCCAAGTAGAATATTGCAAAAGCGTAAACGGCGATAAAGAGACTATTTTGTCCCTACAAATGCTTTCGTTTGCACTTGGTGCTTGATCGGCATCGTTATCAGTGACTTCGAGATATTCTAGGAAAAATGAGCAAACRCGCTGAATGGATGACAAAGACCGCAAATCAGTTGGTCGAAGTTTGTATTTTTCGAAGAAGACATCAAAACATTCCATTTCGTTGGAGGCGCAYATTTTCAATATTTCCATGAKGAGTTTCGTGTAGAATACAATATCTCGATCRTCATTATCGTCATCATCACTGCAAATGATTCCATTTTTKGTTAGACTAAAGTATGCATTTTTCATAGTGTTTTCTGCATCGTCAAAAACTATCGATTCTATGGAGAGATCTTCAACAATCAAAAGGTGTCCACCTCCGCCTCCAACCAGATAAAATAAGTGATATTCATTGTGTTGTTGTGGAGAGAAGGTTATACTCAAACTCTCAAATGTATGCGAAGCAATTGGAGATTCATATACCACCCTTCCGCTTTCAAAACATGCTGCCTTGCCCCTCACTGAAACACAGYCATCGGTACTTTTATCGGGATGCGCAACAATGAAAAGCCTTCCTTTTCTTTCACCCCATCCCTGATCCTTCCACCGACAGCGCAGTAGAATAGTGTGAGGGTTATTTCCAAATATTGGAATCCGTACACTTTTTATCGGGATGTCGCCCGTGATTGGGTCCCCGTGGACAATCTGAGAATAAATGAGTTCGTATCTTGGAACAAGAAGAGATAAGGCCAGATCGGAATGGAAGTCTCTCGATATATTTGATAGCCGGAGTGCTGATCGGTAGTCGAGAAAAGAAGCAATTCTTCTCTTCGAGTCAGAAGGTAAATTAGAAAACGACATCGCTATGGCCTAGGTTTTGGTTGTGGCTACTGGTGCGGTGTGGGTGATGCTATTGCACTAGTAAAATAGAAAAAATAACAGTACAGGTATCTTTTTCATACAACACTTTTATTGATGCTGGTGAGCAGAAAGAAAATGCGCCAAAACCAGCRAACATCACGAATAACGACACATCCCGCTTTGGTAACACTAAAAGATCTATCTATGTACATTGCGTACCGTACGGTAGGATATCAATTGTAGGAAGTATTGTGTTCGGTCCAAACGAGTCTCTCTTCTCGCCTGTCCGTCGTTTTACAAACTTTCGGCATGTATTTGAAGCCAGTGAAATACGGAAAGTGGAAAATTGAACAACAATAAGAATCTCTTGACCCGATTCAGTTTCGAGTCAAAAATAACAARAAAGTTTTGGCTCTACTGCTAGGAGTTRTTTCCCCCCATCAATTTTTATTCTGTACGAAATCGTGCGTAGCACATGTTTCACTTTGTTGATTGMGGAAAGAACCACTATTGCTAACGACATAMTAGAATTCAAGGCCAAAAGATGGGACAAAGAAAACCGAGATCGACTCCAAAAAGCCGCTCAACTGCGAAAAAGGTTCGGGAGGAGGAACCTGAAGAGTCCGAAGATTCCTCGGTAGAAGTAACGAAGAAAACACAGGGAAAGAAAGGGGGAAATCCCGTTGTTGACGCTGTCTCCTCTGCCGAAGAAGACAACGACACCAGYGCTTCTAGCGATGCCGAGACSAGTGGTGATAGTGGTAGCGAAGATGAGCAAGAAMCAACAGGGAAAACATTTTCCGATCAAAATGCATCGTGGCTGAAACCCAAAAAAACATTACTCGACTCTGACGACGATGACGATGACGAGGCTGGGRACGATTTTGGAAGTGACGACGACGATGCGAGCGACGACGATGAAATGGAAGTCGAAAGACAATCGCGTTTATTGGATGCCAGGCGTTTGGAAGAGAAGGAAGAAGCCGAAGAAGAATACCGGCACACGATTGCAACCAACACATCAGTATATCACCTGCCGACAAAAGATGAACTAGAAAAAGATATTGATCGGGTCGTTCCTCCCTCAGAGCTGAAATCTCATATCGACTCAATTCTTGAAGTTTTGGCTGACTTTAAGACTCGCAGGGAACCTGAACGTTCCAGGCAGGAATATGTCGATCAACTAGGATTGTTCATTGCGGAATTGTATGGTTACCTCCCCGAATTGATTGARTATTTTCTCACTATGTTCAGTCCATCGGAATGCCTCGAGTTTGTGGATTATTCGGACAAAGTACGACCCATGGTAATAAGAACAAATACGCTGAAAACGCGACGAAAGGATCTCGCTCTAGCTCTCATGAAGAGAGGTGTTTCACTYGATCCTTTAGCCAGTTGGTCCAAGGTTGGACTCAAAATCATGGAAAGTCCTGTCCCTATCGGTGCCACCCCCGAATACTTGAGTGGGCACTATATGCTTCAAAGTGCCGCTTCGATGTGCCCAGTATTAGCTTTATCTCCCCAACCGAAAGAACGTGTGCTCGATATGTCTGCTGCTCCCGGTGGAAAGACATCATACATGGCTCAATTGATGCGCAATAGCGGAGTGATCTTTGCTAATGATTTAAGRGCCGACCGCCAAAAGGCAACTGTTGCAAACATGCATCGGTTGGGTATCAGAAATGTTATTACGTGCATGCATGATGGAAGAAAATTGTCCAAACTCTTCAAACAATACAAATTTGACAGAATCTTGTTGGATGCCCCCTGTTCAGGTTTGGGAGTTATCAGTCGTGATCCAAGTGTAAAAGTGCAGAGAACTATTGCTGACGTCAAAAAGACAGCTCATCTTCAAAAAGAACTGTTGTTGGCAGCGATCGATGTGCTTAATCACAAAAGTAAGACTGGAGGTGTAATGGTTTATTCGACTTGTAGCATTAGTGTGGCAGAAAACGAAGAGGTTGTCAACTACGCTTTAGAGAAGAGAGATATCCGAATTATTGATACGGAACTTGATTTTGGTACGTTTTTCGACTCAGTTTCATGTTTCATATCTGTTATTGTGTTCGTAAGCGTGTAGAATTCGTGAAAGCTATGTCTCAAWTTTTTTTCTTTTGAATTTAACCTTCTGATAGGCACACCGGCATTTACTAGGTACCAGCAAAAGCGCTTTCATCCATCTGTTTCAAAGACACGACGATTTTATCCTCATGTTCACAACATGGATGGATTTTACGTTGCAAAAATCCAGAAGTTAAGTGATAAGAAAAAAGGCGAAGAAAAGAAAAAAGACGAAGTGGTCGAAAACGAAGTTGTTGCGAAGGAAGAAGAGAAGAAGGACGAACAGAAGCAAAAAAAAGCGCCAGGAAAGAAGGGAAAGAAACGAAAGGGKGGTAAAGACAAGGATGAAGAAGTAAATCCTGCACGGATGGCAAAGCGAGAGAAAATTTCTGTGCCACCGAAGAGGCTGAACACCCCCAAAAAGGGAAAGAAACAGCAAAAGAACGCCAAGATGACCAAACCCCGAAGGCCAAAGGTTGAGTAAGATTTGATATTGAAAACTAAATRRAGSTAAAGAATTCAATTAGATAATTACGTACATGCATATTGATTCATTCAGTACAAAAGTAATTGTCTTTGAGGAGCACCTTTTCAAACATTTCATGATGCCATGTTGCGAGAAAATGATAGTTCTGMTGGGTCATWTTGTTTTCAGAAAAGTATCTGAACCTTCGTAGACTTGTAACGAAATCAAACTCCCATTCTTGACTTTTGAGACAGCAAGAAAAGATGTTTCGGTTATAATTTTTTTCCTAAAATTAAGTTTCAAAATGGAACTAACAGCTTGACAGTTCGTTCGATCGGTTTTTATACATCAGTGGAACGAACTTCGTTCGAAGGGAATACCTCAGCGTAAATCTTGGAGCCCATGAGACTTGTGCCAGCAGCAGTGCATCCGATGAGGTAAATCCAGACTGCAGACCAGCCAAAGGCGGTTTGAAGGGGACCAATTGCTAACAGTCCAACGGCAGATGTGAAAGATCCGCATCCATTGATTAGACCGGTCACAGTCCCAAGAGACTTGCTGCTTCCACGAACCGAAGGATGGGACGCCAAATCTGCGGCGACAGCGGATGTGATGATATTGTTGGGYCTGAAGCGTGAAAGTTCCATGAACAGAGTGGATTGATATTGTGTTAGACGTTGAAAACRGCGAACAGTCCCTTTTTGACAGCGACTAAAGAGATTGAATTTYACTTACCCTCCAACAAGAATACCCATGCAGAAGAGCATGATTAGAAGARCGGTTGGGTTCAAGTCGGGAGCTTCTGAGAATTTGGCAAAGATAGACAAAAAGACAATCAATAGTCCCATGAAGACACCAATGACAAGTGCGCGGCGTCCTCCAAAGAYATCAGAAACATATCCAACAATGATACCTCCGGGCATCATACCAACAGAGTAGAGAGACGCAATAAGATTGGCCTCGACAGGATCAAAATGCTTTCCCAAGAAGTATGGGAGCCAGAAGAATAGGCAGTAGTTGGTAAGTTTGAAGAAACCAAAGGCGAAGGCGTAGTTGGCGACCATGGGAATCCTGAAGGCATCGACAAAAGAAATAGCCTGCAATCCAGTATCGGCTTCGATGGTCTCTCCCTTCTCGGCCATCTCCTTTTTCTTGGCTTCGAACTTTGCTTGACGGATCTTGACCTCGGGTGTGATGATTCCCATGTTGTAAGGGTCCGCAACTAGYTGAATGGTGATAAAMGCAAASAGAATGTTGGCAACTGCGGGAACAAAAAGAGCCCAGGTGTAATGGGCACCCGATCCCAGAATCCATGCAGTGACCAAACCAGCAGAAACATCTCCCACGTATTGATGACAAGTCCAGAARCCAAAGATGCTACCACGATTTTTAACAGCATCTTTGTCGCAGAACCAGTTTCCCATTACGGCAGTTCCAACAGGTCCTCCAGTGGCTTGGAAGAACCCAAAAAGGAACAAGGTGCCGAGAATGACGGCGTTGGCCAAAAGAACATTTACAGAAACCAAATCAGCCAAGACGGCAGCAGTCATGACAAGAAGACAGGCACCGCTTCCCCAGAGACCGATCGCAAGAATAGTAACAGGGTCGAAGGTGTCACCAAGTTTTCCATTGATGACGTTTCCGGCTCCGTAAGTAAGCATGAAGACAGTATCCATAGCACCGAGAATAGAGGCAGTGTATCCAGCCTTGAGTTCGAGTTGTTGCTTAACAGTYGARTAACTCTTTCGGGAAAAATGCGACATGAAGTATCCTCCGAAGGTCACAAAGAAGGCCATTCTGTGTTAGCAATAAAAATTGTCAACAAAGCAAAAATAGGTACAAAAATAAAGTTAGCCCAAGCCATGCCAATTTTGCCGTGAAATCAACGGACTTCGTCTCGATGTTGTAGAAGTTGRAGCGCAGCATCACAATCCGATGCACCTCCGATGAGCGAGRTCCAGGGCCGCTAAGACAGGGTTCGTCCCTGTACTTTCCGATTTTAAACCGATYTATTTCGTCGAAAAACAATGACTTACGGTTGGTAGGCCTTCAACCTTCGAAGCATCTCCGCATCGTCGTCATTTGGGATAAGGGGCTTGCTTTCGGACATTGTTTGTGTTTTTATACGGCACCTGTGAAAAAATAAATAAGGTCAATCCCTCTCACACCTTGTTTTCAGAAAAATAAATGCATTCGAGAGTTGTCGAAATTGGTCAAAAACAATTCTTTTTGATGGTTCAGGAGGAAAAAGTTGTTTCGGGCATTTTGAATTTTCGTGCAATTGATTTGACGGTGCACAAAGCAGATGGTTCGAGCCTCTTCTTCTCCTCGCAATGCTGTGGATCCAATAGATTCATTCTTCGTGATGGGTCGGCGAATAGGAATGAATCTTCCTAGCCGTTCGGTGCGTCACAATGCGTAATACTGCATCGAGGAAACCTTCTTCTACATTCTATTTGTTCCACATGGAAGTACCGTAGTATTTRGTACTGGGGCTACCACTGCATTCTTCACCATTTCACAAAATGATTGGTGATGTAATTTCACGTGGAAAGAAAAGTTTTCGCCCTGAATGGCCGGCGCGAGTTTGAAAAATAGTTTGAAATCCGGAACCTACGATAGGATAGTACTATACATACGTATACGCTGAGGAGATTAAAAATAAAAAATTACTACCTCAGTTACTAAATAATGGTACAGTTTGCCTACTTTTATTTTCCAAAACAATGGTGCAGTATTTACTTAACAGATTTTGGAGTTTGCGGCTGTAGAATTCCACCAATGACTGTGTATGACTGTGTACAACACATAGAATCAGTACTGTACTAGATAAAAATGAGTATACACACCAATACAAATTATTTTATTTTTCACACATGAAAATACACTCATCTATTACTATCACAGGGAATTCTAAAGTTCTTTGCATTGACAGTGGTATCAAGCACCTCTTTTGAATGAAAATGACCAATATAAGAAAGTTCTCCCTACTACTACTACTACTAATGAGAATAGTACCCACCTTGTAAAATACTACTTAATGAGATCTTCTTGGCTATATATTGCTGCAAGTCTTGTACCTAAATGACTGGTGGTAGTAGTACATAGAACCCAACTGACAGTATTATGATATTGATATGAAAAAATAGACCTGTTTGAAGAATCATTCCTTTATTGCTGCTGGT